AAATTGACTATAAAGATGTGGGTTTATTTCTGGGCTCTCAATTCTATTCCATTGAGCTATATGCCTGTTTTTATATCAGTACCATGCAGTTTTGGTTGTTATGGCCTTGTTTTAGAGTTTGATATCAGGTAGTGTGATTCCTCCAACTTTTTTCTTCTTTATCAAGATTGCTGTGGCAATTCAGGGTCTTTTTTTGGTTCCACATAAATTTTTGGAATATGTGTCCTAGTTCTGTAAAATATGCCATTGGTATCTTGATAGCAATTGCATTGAATCTGTAGATTGCTTTGGGTAGTATAGATATTTTAATAATGTTAATTCTTCCTATCCTTGAACACGGTATATGCTTCCATTTAGTTTTCCTTTCTGATAGTTCATTATTTGTGTATAAACAAGCAACTGATTTATGGATATTTATTTTGTATCCTGCTACTTTACTGAATTTATTAATCAGTTCTTGAAGTTTTTCAGTCAAATCTTTAAGGTTCTCTATTTACAGTATCATGTCATAGGCAAATAATGACAGTTTTACCTCTTCCTTTCCCATTTGGATGCCTTTTACTTATTCTTCTTGTCTGATTGCTGTGGCTAAAACTTCCAGTGCTATGTTGAATAAGAGTGGTGAAAAGTGATGTCCACTTTTATTCCCCATTGACCCTTCTCTTTTTTTTCTTGATGAGTCTGTTTAAAGGTATGCCAATCTTGTTTATCTTTTCAAAGAACCAGCTTTTGGTTTCACTGATCTTTGTATTGTTTTTTAAACTCTATATTGTTTATTTCTGCTCTGATCTTTATCATTTCTTTCCTTCAACTCAATCTGGGCTTTTTTTATTGTTGTTTTTTCAAGTTACTTTAAGTGTAAAGTTAGATCGTTTATTTGAGCTTTTTCTTGCTTTTTGAGATAAGCTGTAATGCTATGAATTTCCCTCTTAGGACTTCTTTCCATGTCCCACAGATTTTGGGTTGCTGGTTCTCATTTTCATTTGTTTCAAGATATCTTTTAATTTCTTCATTGATCTCATTGTTAACCCATTCACTGTTTAGTACGTTATTTATCTTCCATGGCTTTGTGTGTTTTATAGTTTTCTTGTGATTGATTTCAAGTTTCATAGCATTATGATCAAAGAAGATGTTTGTTAGGATTTCAATCTTCTTAAACTTATTGAGACTTGTTTTGTGTCCTAATATTTGGTCTCTCGTACAAAACATTCCAGGGGTACTTGAAAAGAATGCATATTCTGCTTCTTTGGGGTAAAATACTCTGACGATATCAATTAAATCCATTTGATCTAGTGTGTCATTTAAGGCCGCCATCTCCTTGTTGATTTTATGTTGGAAGGTCTAACCATTGATGTCAATGGGGTGTTAAAATCCCATACTATAACTGTAGTACTGTCAATTTCTCCCTTTAGGTCCATCAAGATTTGCTTTACATATGTAGGTGCACCTATGTCATGTGCATAAATGTTTACAAGGGTTATGTCATCTTGTTGGATTGCTCTCTTTATTATTATGTAATGTCCTTCTATAGCCTTGGTTTTAAAGTCTAATTTGTCAGATATAAGTACTGCTACCCGGCTTTTTTTTCCTTTTCATTTGCATGAAATATATTTTTCTACATCTTAACTTTTAGTCTGTGTGTATCTTTTCTTCTGAGGTGGGTCTCTTGAAAACAGCATAGACATGGGTCTCATTTTCTTATCCATTTAGCTACGTATGTCTTTTGATTGGAGCACTTAAGTCATTTATATTTAAAGTGATTATTCATAGGTACATATATATTGCTATTTTATTTTTTTAACTATGTTCCTATGTTTTGTTTCTCCTCCTTCTTCATCCTCATCTTCTTCATCTCCTCCTCCTCCTCCTTCTTCTGGCAGGCCATTTAACATTTCTTGTAATATTACTTTGGTGGTAACAAACTCCTTTAGCTTTCTCTTGTCTGGGATGTTATTTATTTTTCCTTCAACTTTAAAAAATAGCCTTGCTGGGCAAAGTAGCCTTGGTTGTAGGTCCTTGCTTTTCATCACTTTCAGTATTTCATGCCAATCCTTTCTGGCCTGAAATGTTTCTGTTGAGCTGATAGTCTCATGGGAGCTCCCTTGTAGGTAACTGACTACTTTCACTTGTGGCTTTTAAGATTCTTTCTTTGTCTTTAATTTTTGTCATTTAAAATATGATGTGTCTTGGTGTGGGCCTCTTTGGGTTCATCTTTTTTGTGACTCTCTGTGCTTCCTGGACTTGTATGTCTTTTTCCTTCACGAGGTTAGGGAAGTTTTCAGTCATTATTTCTTCAAACAAATTCTCCTCTCCTTCTGGTATCCCTAATGATGTGGATGTTGTTACACTTCACGTTGTCCTAAAGGACCCTTAACTGTCCTCATTATTTTAAATTCTATTTTCTTTTTGCGGATCTGATTGAGTGTGTTTTTTTCTACCTTGTCTTCCAAATCACTAATATAATCCTCTGCTTCCTGGAGCCTACTGTTTATCTCTTCCAGTGTATTCTTCATTTCTGACTGGTCCTTTTTTATGATATTTATGTTCTTTTTCATGCTGTTGATCATCCTCATAATCATTAGTGTGAACTCTATATCTGATAAACTGCTTACCTACATTTTATTTAGCTCTTCTTCTGGAGAATTCTCTTGGTCCTTCCTTTGGGGCCTGTTTCTTTACCTCCCCATTTTGGCTTCCTCTTTTTGTTTCTATGTATTAGGTAGATCTGCTATGACTCCCAGTCTTGGTAAGGTGGCTTTATGTAGTAGGTGACTTGTGAAACCCAGTGGCATAGTCTCCCTAATCACCTGAGCTGGGTGCTCTAAGAATGTCTTTTGTGAGCATTATGTGTTCCCTCTATTATAATTGAGTCTTGATTGCTATTGGCATGTTTATGTATGGGATCAACCCCTAAGCTAGCTGACTGAAGCTCAGCCCCCAATAAAGCATGCAAGCTGCTGTAAGGTTGTGATCATACGAGGTGGAATTTGTTTCAGCAGTGATTGGTGACTGCTGAGATTTCCCTGTGGATATGCTGCTTATGAACCTCATTGGATCCTGATTTGTGGTTGTCTGGAGCTGGTGCCTGGGTATATTGGTTTTAGGCCTCTTTGGAGGGACTTTTGTTCAGGCCAATGTCAGACAATGTATGTGACTGGCCCTGGGCAACCTGTTTGAAGCTATCAGTGATCCACAACTTGTGGTTCCCTCTGCTGGACCTGGGTGCATGTGGAAAGGACCAAGCTTCACACCAAGGTCTGTTTTTACTAGCACTATGCCCAGGAGCATGTCAGCAAAAAGTCTCAAAGCATCCAGAGATATGCCCCTGCCTGCAGGCTATCTCTTAAATAAATCACTTAAAGAGCCTCTGGCTGTACCCCCCAGGAGGGCTTAAGCTCCACAGGATGGGACAAGAGGGATTCCAATGGGTGGGGCTATTGTTTCATCCCAGGCTGATGCTGCATTGAGAGGAATGCTCTGCCTGAGAAAGATGGTGTCCGAAGTATGAGGAAATGACTCAGCACAGGGATCCTGGTGGCTCACCTCTAAGCTCTATTCCCAGAGCCACCAACCCTAGACTCTTTTCATGCAGCTCTAGTTTGCTCTGCCCCTCCTCCAACGGAGCCCAGGGTGAGTGGCTACAAACAAAATTTTGTGTGTTGGCCCTTCAAGAGAGTGCCTGTGTTTCTAGCCATTTCTCCCTGGCAGACAGAAACCTTGTTGCTTTTCACAGCCAGATGTTATGTGCACAAGTTTCCCAGTTTTGGTGCTCTGAGCTAGGGAGCCCAGTTTGGGTTTTAGATTTTAGACTTCTCAGGGGGAATCCTCTATAGCTGAGATATCCCTCTAGAACTTGAGCTGCCATCTGTGGGAGCCTGGCCAGCCCTCTCATGTCTCCACACTTTTTACCAGTCTCAATGTGGCCTCCTCTGTATGTCCTTGGTTATAAGGGTTCTCTCCAGCTAGTCTTCAGTTGGTTATTCAGGACAATTTTTCTATACTTTAGTTGTAATTCCAGTTTGGACCTGGAAGGTGGTGAGTGTAGCTTCTACTTAATCCACAATTGTGTTGGATCTCTTCTCAAACCTTCCTTTTGACAACTGATTATCATTTTCCCTTAAAACTCTGAAAGTAAGTACCACTGTTTATAAAGCCCTTTGTCAGTAGTTGATTTACCTTAATGAGTCCTCCTATCCCACTTAAATCTTGAGATAAGTGATATTAGGGTCTACATGCTACCTAAAAACTTTGACATTGCTAGGAATCGGATGATGTTGGTATGTAAGAAAAGCTAATGCAATTCATTAATAACACAATAAGGAAAATTCTGGAGATTCTCAGCCAGAAAATGAAATGGAGGTGGTCTGCCTAGCATAGGGAGACACAAATCATGAAGTATCAAGACAGCTAATTTCAGTTTTTTTCTCACTCACCCACCTTTCCTTCAGGCACAACTCAGATAAAATTTGTATTAAATTCTGTATTTTCTGAGTCTTCAGAGAAATAAAAGGCACAAATAGTAGTGCATAAAAACCACCATTCTATAAGTTACTTACATATGGTTTCAAATATGTAAAAATCTGTTACAAAAATATACAACTACTTCATTCTTAGCAATGTAAAACCACTAACTGTCTTAAGCAAAAGGATAGAGTATGTTTGATGTCTTCAGCACACAGGGAAGGTAGAAGTGGAATGTGGGGAAATAGGAGATGAGACAAGGCTGTGAGGGATTATACATGGTCCTAGTCTACCCTGGAGAACCAGCCAATGAAGCAGGCTGGTATGCCCAGCTGTAGAAAGACAAATGGAAATTTATTTTCTTGCTCATAAATTTTTAGGACAATTCCAGCTTTGCTGACTATACAGTATTTTAGAGGGACTGAAATACTTGTGACTTCAACATAAGTATGTTTGTATTTAGATTTTAAGATATTTGGATACCTCTCTTTATTACCTACTAAGATATTGCAAATCATAAAGTCTTGGATTCAAACTACCTGTCCCACTTCTTCATTACTGTAGGTGTGGCCATTTCATGTTGATCTTCAGATGGTTCTTCAGTTTCGATCTGAGGATTAAATACAGTTTCTTCCCAGAGAAGTTCTTGTTCATTGCCTTGAGATACAACTAGAATATAGCTTAGGCTATTTGTCATTGAAGAAACAAAATCTTCAAAGTCAGGCTATAAAATAAAATGATAAACTGTTCAAGTTCCTGAAATGAATAGGCTAACATGGCAGCTACTACCCAAGTCAAGTTGCATCTTCCCCTTCATGATCACTGGGGAAGTGAATGGTATCCTTATAAAGCTCCTGTTAACAAACACATCTTTCAAGGATAAAAGTTCATGCCTAGCAGGGGTTGATCTTAAAGATAGTCTAATAACTATCCTCAAGCTTTAGGAAGTTTCCAAGTCATCTGAAGGGCTTGTTGTGTAAACACAGGTTTCTGGAGTCCAATCTCAGAATTTATGGTTGAGCAGGTTTAGGGTGGGGCCCAGGAATTAAATTTTCTCAAAAACTCCCAGGTGATGCTGATGTTGCTGGTCCAACCCTTTCCTGGGGCTAATAGAGATGTTTTGAGTGATACAGCTAGTTTACAAAGTGCTATTCAGTAGAATTTTCTCTGTAATGACAAGGGTGCCTTGTGCTCTCCAACATATGTAACCACATGCAGCTATTGAGCACTTGAAATGTGGCCAGTGCAATTGAGAGTGAATTTTATATAATTTTAATGAATTTACATTCAAATGGACACATGTATCTAATGGCTACCATATTGGACAGGGAATTTGTAGAATTATGTCTCCTGAACCGAAGCCAGTGCACTTTCCAATACACAGCACTGCCTTTATTGTCATTCTTCAGGGAAGAGAGAATTTTAAAAATAGCTTGAGACAAAGGCTTTTGGATACAGAAAGAATTAAAGTTTTCCTGTAGGGCCCTGGCTGGGTAACTTAGTTGGTTAGAGCATTGTCCCCATATGCGAAAGTTGTGGGTTTGATCCCTGCTCCGGGCACATACAAGAATCAACCAATGAATGCATACATAAGTGGAGCAACAGATGGGAGCTTCTCTCCCTTTCTCCCTTCCTCTCTCTCTCTAAAGTCAATTAAAAAAAATTTTTTAAAGCTTTTCTGTAATGTAAATGACAAGAAGCCTTCAACCTGGGTTAAAAATCTCTAGATAATGCCTGGATATTTACTTCCAGGGCTCATGTAGGGAATCTTAGAGGACATAACATAATGAAGTTTTCACTCCAGAAGAACACAGCTAGACCAGCCACTTTTGCTCAACTTCTGGATATTTCTTCAGAGTCATCATTTTTGGCATTACCATGATATGGACACCAAAAAAGTCACCAGGAGCTTATTTGCTTGGTCACACTTATTCATTTGCTTTTCTATAATGAAGCTCTAAAACTTACAAGAATATATTCTATTTGAAAACACAGTGGTTTATTTTTTTTAACTTTCTTACCTGGTCTGCTAATTGGCTATAGAAGTTCCTCACTTGCTTTTCAGTGAGTACTCTCTTATCTTCTGCTTCTATGACAAATCCTTTATTGATGATCTTCAATGAGAGAGTAAGTCAGATTGAGAGATTGTGGGATCACATGCAAAACAAGTCAAGGACATTTGGATCCTAGGCTTAACACACCTCCCAGATTTCAATGTATTTCATGTTAAGACCTCAGCACAATCCATGGGGCACTAGATGTAAAGTGGCTTAAAATTATATAGACAAGGAAAGCCCTCATCATGTCCCCTAGTATTTAAGTTTTCAAGGTTTAAACCAGAGAAACCACAATATTTATATTATTTAAGTGAATTGCCTCAAAATGTGAAAAAACTAACTGAATTCTGAAGAAAGATATCATAATCTTCTGAATCACTCATAAAGACATAAATTTATAAGCACTTCTTAACCATCTTTTTTCAAAATCATTTTAATTTTTTTAAGGCTTTATTTGTTAAGGCTATAACTCATAATCTATTATATTTTACTCTTTTAGCAACAAAAATATGCAAGTTATTTGGAAGGACAGAATTTAAGGTTTAGCCATACTTTACTTGTTTTAAAGAAAATTTAATTTAATAACAAATTCAGTCTGCATGTCACTCAAGTATAATAAAATGTAACAAAGGGAAGTTTTGATGCTAATCTAACAAGTCCAATGAGGTAATAAACAACTAAATGTAAGTGCAACCTGGATTCAAAGCAACTTAGTAAATACATTAAATGATAGCAATAATTTGATCTCAATTTTATTTGGAAGTACTGAGTACCAAGTACCTCTGCTTCTATTATTAAAGCAAGCCCCAGTCTGGTCCCATGGGCTTCACCTATATTACAGAGCTGTACTTACATCTTAGTGACAGCTCTCCTGACACTCCAATTTGAAAATTTTCTAAATACTCAAATCATGTCTGTTAAGTTACTAAGTCTCTGATAAAATAAAATAAGATCCAAGCAACATTTAAACTTGATAACTTCTCCTTTACTATAGTTGAAAAATTCAGTGTGTTTAATTTCTTTTTCATTCAAGACCTTTTTTAAACTTTTTATGTTCAGTTTGTTATGTAGCTTTTTACTGTATTCCAGAGAGGTAAAGTACTTAGTAGATATTTATAATTCACATTCCTGCAATGTTGTTTAGTACATCAAAACAACAAATTTCAGATGAATTGATGATAGTGTTGCCTCAACTAAAGGAACTATATAATTTGAAAATCTTCACTATTATATCTATTAAAACATATAGAATAAAAAACAGTAAACTGTGGGTATGGATATTATTTTTGATAACTTTATAAAATATAAGCAATTTATGGGGGACTGGGATATAGTCTTGTGTCCACCTTCCCACATATACACCAGAATCTGTAATAAAAAAGGGAAACTATACTTAGAGAATGGTATTAATAAAATCAACTCATATTTGGAAGGGAGATTATATATACCATGACCCATGGACTATCATTTTCTTGTAGTTTAATCAGTGATAATGCTACTGTGGCTAAAAAAAGAATGCATGATGGAAGTTTATCAAGAGATACCCAACCCCTTCTGACATAGCTCCCTATGTGATCTCCTCTACTGTACATGCAATAGTCTTTCAAATTTCAATATAATTTTGTTGTTTTAACACAACGTCTTTGTTCAGGGATGAGCAAACTATAGCCTATAGTCAAAACCTGGCCAACTGCCAATTTTTGGAAATGAAGTTTATTGGAATATAGTCACAATCATTAGTTTACATAGTGCCTGCTGGTGCTTTCTCAATATGATCTCATAGCTGTGACAGAGATCATATATGCCACAAACTTGAAAATAGTTACTGAATGGTCCTTTATATAAAATGTCTGCTGACCTTTGGATTAAAATGCAATTTTCCTTTAAAAAATTTATCTTTTCAGGATTGCAAGATGGCAGCAGATTAAGTGGAAGCTACACTGACACTCTCCCAGGACCAAACTGGAATTACAACTAAAATATAGAAAAACCATCCTGAAAAATCAACTGAAGACTAGCTGGAGAGAATCCTCATAACCAAGGATGAAAAGTGGAGACAGCATAGAGACTGTTAGGAAGTTTGGAAATGCAAGAGGGCTGGCTGGGCTTACACAGGCAGCAGCAGTAGTTACAGAGGGATATCTCAGCTGTGGGGAGTTCCAACTGAGAACTCTGGGGTCTAAACCCCAGGCTGGGCTTCCCAGCTCAGAGCACCAGAACTGAGAAAGGTGCCCACATAACAACTCACTGTGAAAAGCAGCAGTTTCTGTCTACCAGGGAGAGATGGCTGGAAATGCAGGCACCCTCTTAAAGTGCCAACATACAAAGTTTCATGTGCAGGCACTCACCTTGAGCTCCAGCAGAGGAAGGGCAGAGTGGACTAGAGATGTGTGAGGAGGTTGCAGGGTTACACATTCTGGAAATAGACCTCAGAGGGCACCTGTCTGAATTCTTGCTCTGAGTCACCCCCTGCCCTCCTACAACAAAGAACACTTTTTCAGGCAGACCTTTACCCTCCAAGCAGCTTTTGCCCTGGGTATGGGGGGAAGCAATTGCTCTATCCATTAAAAACCTCACATCCCACCCTATGGAGTTTACACCTTGCTATTGTCTATAGCCTAAGGCTCATTAAGAGACTTTGAATAACAATCAGCCTGCAGGCAAAGGCAATCTCTGGGTGCTTTGAGACTTTTCGAATCTGGTTCTGGACCAGGGTTTAGAAAAGTAGACCTTGATGTGCACCTTGCTCCTTTCCAAACATACCCAGACACAGCAGAGCAAACCACAAGCTGTGGATTGCTGAGAGCTCCAAACAGGGTATTCAAGGCCGGTCACAAACACCATCTGACATTGACCTGCACCAGAGATCCTCCAAAAGACTGGGAGTCATAGCAGATCTACCTAATAGATAGAAATAAATCCAAACAGACAGCCACAATGGGGAGACAAAAAAAAGAAGCCCCACATGAAAGAATAAGAGAAATCTCCATAAAAAGAGCCAAATGAAATGGAGATCATCAATTTATTAAATATGGAGTTCAGATTACTGATTGTAAGGGTGCTCAGCAGCATGAGAAAAGATATGGAAACTATGAAGGAAATTAAGAATGACACAGCAGAAATTAAAAATACAGTGGAAGGAATAAATAACAGATTAGGGGAAGCTGAGGATTGCGCCAGTGAATTATAAGACAGGATAAAAAAAAATCACTCAATTAGAGAATCAAAAAGAAAAAACAATTAAAGCCCAGCCGGGCGTGGCTCAACTGTTGAGCATTGACCTAGGGTCCAGGAGATCGGGGTTTGATTCCTGGTCAGGGCACATGCCCAGGTTGTGGGCTAGGCAGCTGATCAATGACTCTCTCATCATTGATGTTTCTATCTCTCTCTCTCCCCCTCTTTTCCTCTCACTGAAATCAATAAAGATATATTTTAAAAAAACAAAACAATTAAAAAACAGAAGGACAGGTTTAAGGGATCTGTGGGACAACATGAAACATAAAAATATTTGCATCATAGAAGAGCCAGAAGGTGAAGAAAGTCATCAAGGGATAGAGGACCTGTTTGCAGAAAACTTCCTTAACCTGGTCAAGGAAAAAGTCACACAAGTTCAAGAGTCACAGAGAGCCCCAAGCAAGAAGAACCCAAAGATACCCAGGCCCAGACACATCAAAATTAAAATGCCAAGAATTCCAGACAAAGAAAGAATCTTAAAGGCAGCAAAAGCAAAGCAAAAGCAATCTGTTACCTACAAAGGAGCTCCCCTAAGGCTGTCAGCTGATTTCTCATCAGAAACTCTACAGGCCAGAGGGAATGGCATGAAGTATTCAAAGTAATGCAAAATAAGGATCTGAAACCAAGACTGCTCTATCCAGCAAGGCTATCATTCAAACTTGAAGGTGAAATAAAGAGCTTGCCAGACAAAAAAGGCTAAAGGAGTTTATCACACCAAACCAACATTGCAAGATATGTTAAAGGGACTGCTGTAATAAGAAGTAGAAATAGAGAGAGAAACATAGGCATAAAGAATTAAAATGGCAATAGATATGCACTTATCCACAATAACCTTAAACATAAATGGATTAAATGCTCCAATCAAAAGACAGAGTGTACCTGAATGGATTAAAAAAATGAGCCAAATATATGCTGTCTACAAGAGTCCCACCTAAGAATAAGACTCACATAGGTTGAGAGTGAAGGGATGGTAAAATTTTTTACATGTAAATGGATATGGAAAAAAAAAAGATGGGGTAGCAATACTCATATCTGACAAAATAGACTTCAAAATGAAGGCCATAACAAGAGAAAAGTCAGGTCACTACATGATACTAAAGGGATTGATCCAGCAAGAGGGTATAACCCTGGCAAACATATATGTGCCCAATATAGGAGCACCTAAATATATTTTTAAATCTTCTGGAGGACTTTAAGGAGAGATAAACAGCAATATAGTCATAGTACGGGATTTCAACATCCCACTGACTACACTGGGAAGATCTTCCAGACAAAAAATCAACAAGGAAACAGTGACTCTAAAGGACACACTAGATTGGATGGATTTAATTAACATTTACAGAACATTTCACCCCAAAGCTGCAGGATATGCATTCTTCTCAAGTGAACATGAAACATTCACAGATAGACCACATGTTAGGATACAAAGCAAGTCTCTACAAGTTCAAAAAGATGAAATCATATCAAGCATCTTCTCAGACATTTACACCATAGAATACTATGCAGCTGTAAAAGTGAAGGATCTCTTACCCTTTGAGACAGGATGGTGGGACCTGGAGAGTATTATGTTAAGTGAAATAAGCCAGAGAAAGACATGTATCATATGATCTTACTCATATGTGGAATCTCATGGACAAAATAAACTGATAAACAAAATAGATCCAGAGACATAGAAGCATGGAAGAGACTGACAAATCTCAGAGGGAATGCAGAGGTGGGGGAATGAATGGGGAGAGATTATCCTAAGAATGTATATGCATATATGCTTAACCCATGGACACAGACAATTGTGTGGTGATTGCCTGGTAAGGGCATCATGCAGAGTGGAGGGGATCAGTGGGGGGCAAAGGGGGGACATCTGTAATATTTTCAACAATAAAGATAAATTAAATTTAAAAATATTTTTCCTCTAAAGCAAAACATTAAATGCATCTTTAAGCTATCATGGATCTATATAGGACCATACATTTTTGACAACATACATAGAATAAAGCAAGCTAATGTGAGATTATAACAAGTATGGGTTGCTAATTACTCAACATGAAAAACATTTGCTAAAATCCAATATAAAAAGAGAGTTATTTAAATAAGGATGTCTGTGTGGGTCTAGCCTTTGTAAAGAGAAAACATTCAAAGCCGTTAGAGGCACCAGAAGTTCATTATATTCTATTTGACTCTAAGTGATAATCTGCTTATCTCTAAATTGACAATTAGCCCGGCTGAGCGTGGCTCAGCGGTTGAGCGTTGACCTAGGATCCAGGCAATCGGGGTTCGATTCCCAGTCAGGGCACATGCCCAGGCTGTGGGCTCGATCAGTGACTCATCATTGATGTTTCTGTCTCTCTCTCTCCCTCTCCTTTCCTCTCTCTGAAATCAATAAAGATATATTTAAAAAATAAATAAATAAATACATAAATAAATAGACAATTAATAGGGTTGTTATTTTTCAATTAATTTAAACTATTATTGCAAAATATCACTTACTTTTTCTTTAATTTCTATAGTTTTTCCAGTAATCACAGCCTCGGGTTTGATAATAGCAATACTGTATAGTTTGTCTAGAAAAAAATAAATAAAGGAACTTCATTTTCTTGATATAAAGTCTAGATAATGAAGGTTTTGGTAATTAAAAATGTAAACTACTAATGTCCAGTAAATTTTTTCCACTGACAGCTTTCTTCTCATTATGGAATTTCAACTACTAAAGATTTGGAATCCAAGTGCACATCTTACATTTCCATACAAGGGAAACATTCACAACAGTTTGTAGTCAATAGGAACACACACAAAAAAATAAAAACCCACACACAAAACAGAGTAGGTGGGCACTGGTTATTTTTATAAAATTTACATAAATTAGAATCACACCCATGATTCATTCAACTCAGTATTATTAGTGAGTGGAGTTTCAAATGCAAGCAAACATCACAAACTAATGGAGTTATCATTATGGATTTATCCACATTTATCTACACAGTCTTAGATGTGTTTGCCCCTACTCCCTCCAGAGGATGTATGCACTTTCATAGACCCACATAGACAACCCAGTGAAGGCAGGAAACTATTAACTGTAAAGTAAACTGGGACTGTAGATCATCAAGAAAGATTATTTTCACAACTTGAGGGATGAAATAAGAGGATGCTGCTGTCCAAATTAGTTAGCTCTGGTTTTGCCTGAGTAACCTCTGAAAGGCTCCAGGCATAGAGACCAGAGAGAAGGGAAAGGGAGCAAAAGAGGTTTCTTTTTAATATCTGAGTCTAGTATTGCACAAATAATCAATTATCCTACCAATTCCTTATCAACTAATACTGACGTCATTACCAGCCCTTTGCTGCTTTAAGTGATGCTGTAATGAGCATCCATGTATACAAATCCCTTACCATTCTTTAAGTTTTCTTACCAACATTTTTATTGAATACTTCCCCAGCATCTTCTGTATCTGGGTCTACAAATGCAATTTCATTATACTATGGAAGAAAAATGCAAATAAAACAGTTATATTTTAATGTGGTGGTGAGTTTTTTAAAATTTTATTTCTAATAAATATTTATAACCCAAAGGATAAAAGGTAAAGTGGAAATGTGCCTGCATTTATCTAGCACTACTTTTCTCAAGCTTTCCACTAAAATAGAATGAAAAATATTTAAAACAGTTGGAGTAGGGAAACTATCAGGAAAAAAAAAAAAAATGCATATACTGTATGCTATATGGAAATGGTTAAAAACAAAACAAAAAAAACCTTTAAAACTTAAGAAGAGCATAAGGAATACAATAAGAAACATGGATTAACTAGAAAACAATAAATAGCCCAGCTGGTGTGCCTCAGCAGTTGAGTGTCAATCTATGATCCAGGAGATCCCTTCAATTCCAGGTCAGGGCATGTGTTTGTGGCTTGATCCTGTGGGGGTGAGCAGGAGGAAGCCAAATCAATGACTCTCTCATCATTGACATTTATCTCTCTCTCTCCCCCTCTCCCTTCCTCTCTCTGAAATCAATAAAGATATATTTTAAAAATAAAATAAAACAATAAATACATAATTATCATGTTAAAACATAAAAACAGTATTTGCTGTTTCAAGATCCATTTCTGACCATTACTATTAGTAAATTAGAAACCAAAAGATACTACCTTAACTTTAAAAAAAGTCTTGCTCAAAATAATAGCCCATTTCCTACTATAGAGTAAAATACTAGAAAGGATGGGAGGGATGGGGGTCTAAATTACTTGAGAAGCCCAAAAAGTGCTTCTATGATTCTTTATATATTTATATATTTATATATAAACATTGTTTTGGCAAGAGAATTAGTAACTTCAGATTCTCAATGGAATACTCAAAAATATTTGGATATAACTATACTGGAAGCATTCACCTTTATTAAAATCAGGAATAAGATAATTATGCCAGATATAACTTCAAAACTGATCTGACTTTGCATTTTGTTGAATTTTTGTTGGCCAATAGGGTAGCCACTAGCCACATAAGTTTATCTAAACACTTGAAATGAAATTAGTCCTAATTAAAATGTATCATAAGTGAAAAACACACAACATATCCCAAAGATTTAGTATAAAAAAGTGAAGGTAGTATACCTTATTTTTTATATTCAGTATATATTTAAATAGAATCTTTTGAATATACTGGATTAAATAAACAATTTTTTAAATTTAGTTTCACTGTTTCTTTTTTATTGTGTCTTTTGTGACTAGTAAAATATTTTAAAGTATGTATGTGGCTCATATTGTGCCTTATATTTTATTACTATCATACATTGCTGTGCTAGAAAAGGCAATAAATAATAAAGGTAAATAACAGATGTGTCCAACAAAATTGAATATATAAAATAAATGTGATTTAATAAATTTCTTATATATCTATTGTTATTAATTAAAACAGGATGTTGTTCTATAAGAGGGGCTGCAGCCTGAGGGTCAGGCTTAGTCTGACACACATGTAGCTCTAACTGAAATTTTCTCCATAAACCAGGGAAGGTGGCAAGTGCCATCTTTGCACTCTCCCTCTTCTCTGTTCCAGGACTCTGATGTTCACATAAAGATAGATTGAGTGCCCGGCCAGCGTGGCTCAGTGGTTGAGCATCAGCCTTTGATCCTGGAGATCTCCATTGGATTCCCAGTCATGGCACATGCCCAGGTTGGGGGCTTGATCCCCAGTAGGGGATGTACAGGAGGCAGCTGATCAGTGACTCTCTCTCATCATTGATGTTTCTATTCTCTCTCCCTCTCCCTTCCTCTCTCTGAAATCAATAAAAATAAAAACAATAGATTGAGTGCACATCTGGTATGTCAGCTTTTGTGGCTGCCTCCCAGAGGACACATCCCTTGATAGCCTGGTTCTGGCAGCCAGCAGGGCTGGTGTTGGTTTGTTCAGAAGAACCAGCAATGGATAAACCATTCAGACAGAAAATCAATTAAATCATTGAATTTAAACTACATGTTAGACCAGATTGACTTAAGAGACATTTACAGAAGATTGCATCCAAAAGCAACAGAATACTCATTCTTCTCAAGTACACATGGTACATCCTTTAGGATAGATAATATGTTAGGCCACAAAACAAGTCCTAGTAGATTTAAGTAGATGAAAATTATATCAAGCATATTTCTGACCATAATGGTATAAAACTAAAAATTAATTAGAAAATACATAAATATATGAAGATCAAACAACATACTATTGAACAACCAATGGGTCAAAGAAAAAATCAAAACACAAATCTAAAAACTCTTTGAAGCCAATAAAAATGGAAATACAACATATCAAAACTTAAGGAATGTAACAAAAGAGTTCTAAGAGGGAAGTTTATAGCAATAAATGCTTACACTTAAAAAAAAATCTCAAATAAACAATATAATTTTACACTTCAAGAAACTAGAAAATGAAGAATAAATGAAACCAAAGTTATCAGAGCAGGAATAAATAAAATAGAAACTAAAAATACAATAGAAAAAAAATCAATGAAACTAAGTGCTATTTTTAAAAAAAAAAAGAAAACACAAACCATTTAGCTAGACTCTAAAGAAAAGAGAGAACTCAAATAAAATTAGCAATAAAACGGTAGACATTACAACTGATACCACAGAAATACAAAGGATCTTAAGAGACTGCTATTACTACCTATTAAGTCACTATCTTGAAAAGTTATCTGCACTCCCATGTTTATTGCAGCATTACAGTTGACCTTTAAACAACATGGGTTTGAACTGTGTGGGTACTTATAGACAGATTTTTTTCAATAAACATACAGTCAGCCACCCATATCCCTGGGTTTTGCATCTAAATGCAAATCAAAAGCAGTACTTTTGACCCATGGTTGGGAATCCATTGAAGTAGAGGGCTGACGGTACGCATTATTTTATTCCATTTTATATGAGGGACTTGAGCATTGGTGGATTTTGGTGTCTGCAGGTGTCTGCAGGTGTCCTAAAACCAATTCCATTTATACACTGAGGAAGGATTGAGTTTGAGAGGAGTCAAAAGTTATATAGTGATTTTATGACTGTGCAAGGGCTGGTTCTCCTAACCCCCGTGTTTTCAAGGCTCAAGAGTATTTACAATGGTCAGGATATGAAAACAAGCTAAGTGTCCATAACGGGTGAATAGATAAAGAAAACAAGGTATATATGTACAATAAAATATTATTCATCTATAAAGAAAGAAGGAAAATTTACCATTTTTGACAACATGGATAAATCTTGGGGGCATTATGCTAACTGAAATAGATCAGACAGAGAAAGACAAGTACTATATGATCTTACTTATATGTAGAATCTAAAAAAACTAGTCATAGATACAGAAAACAGAATGATAATTGCCAGAGGTGGAGGGTTGGGAATTGGGAAATTCAATGAAGTTGGTTAAAAGGTACAAACTTCCAGTTATAAGCAAGCTCTGGGGTATAATATACAGCATGGTGACTATAGTTAATACTATATTGTATATTTGAAAATTGTTAAGAGGGATCTTAAAAGTCCTTATCACACACAAAAAAATGTAATCATGGGAGGTGACAGATGTTAACTAACTTTGGTGTGATAATCATTTTGCAATATATACATATATCAGTCATTATGTTGTACATCTTAAACTAATACAATGCTATCTCAATTATATCTCAACAAAACTGGAGGTGAAAAGATTTCTGTAAGAATTAAATCAGGAGATCTGCTTGTAAAGCTTAGCAAAACAGTAAGTCCTCAATAATTCCTAGTAATTGTAATTTTTAAAAAGAAGTGGGGGAAATGGGGAGAGACAGAGGAGATGATTCCCTGAAAAAGTCAAGAAAAATGTTCTTAGATAAGAAAAATTATTATAATAAATGTAAATTCTTTATATTTGTCATTTATCATTTTTCCATCAAAACGATCATTTTTTTCTTAATGCTCTTAACAAAGTACTTTGTAGATACTGTCAATATTAGCACAATAACACATAGTGCAAGCATTTTTCCCAGTTTACTGCCTTCCTTTTACATTTTAGAGTACACTTCAGTTTTAAATAATCAAATCTATCAACTTTTCCTTTCTGATATCTCTGTTCTGTATTATATTAATATGGACTTCCTCAACCTATGACAATATAAGAGCTTGCCAATATTTCTTTTAATATTTACACTTAGTTTCTTTGTTTTCAGCTCTTTAATTCATCTGTTGTTTATATATGTATGTATGTATGAGAAAATGATACAACTTTTTATGCAAATAGTAAACCCAGTATTCCTAAGCCCCTTTATTGAACTGTTTATCCTTTCTTGATTTAAACTGAAATTTCTATAGCAAGTACTTGCAAAAGTTTGGGCCTATACAGTCTCATCATTCTATTTTTCAATATTTCCTGGCTAGTCTCTACTTTCTGTTTCTTGAATTTATGCTTTCCCTTGTATTTTGCTGTTGTTGTTTGTTGTATCTATTCAGGCACCCTCAGTGTTTTGATTGGGGCATCAATTCCATTTACACTTAAGATTATTATTGACAGGTACTTATTTATTGCCATTTTTTTCTTTAAACCTATGTTCCTTGTTCTGGGTATGTCTTCCTCTTAAAGCAGTCCCTTTAACATTTCTTACAATTCTGGTTTGTTGGTAAAGAACTCCTTTAGCCTTTTTTTTTTTTTTCTGGAAAGCTCTTTATTTCCCCTTCAATTTTAAAAGATAGCCTTGTTGGATAAAGTTAGTTTTGGTTTCAGGTCCTTGCTTTTCATTACCTTGAATACTTCATGCCATTCTCTTCTGGCCTGTAGAGTTTCTGAGAAATCAGCTGACAGTCTGATGGGAGCTCCTTTGTAGCTAACAAATTGCTTTTCTCCTTCTGCCTTTAAGATTCCCTCTTTGTCTTTAATCTTTGCCATTTTAATTATGATGTATCTTGGTGTTGGTCTCTTTGAGTTCATCTTGACTGGGACTCTGTGCATTCTGAACTTGTGTGACCTTTTCCTTCACCAGGTTAGAAAAATTTTCTGTCATCATTTCTTCAAACAGGTTTTCTATCCCTTGCTCACTTTCTTCTCCTGTCACACATATGATGTGGATAGTATTATGTTTCATATTGTACCAAAGTTTCCTTAAACTATACTCATTTTTTAAAATCCTTTCTCTCTTAGTTCCTCTGATTGGGTTTTTTTCTATCTTGCCTTCCAACTCGCTGATTCAATCCTCTTTTTCACCCAGCTTACTTTAAATTCCTTCCCTTGTATTCTTGATATCAGATATGGTATCTTCATTTTTACTGGCTCTTATTGATGCTTTCGATTTCTTTTTCATGCTGCTGTATTTCCCACTGAGTTTCTTGCAGTTCTCACTAATTTCTTTGAGCAACCTTAAAACCATTACTTCAAACTCTCTCTCTGATAAATTATTTGCCTCCATTTCATTTAGCTCTTTTTCTGGAAATTCCTCTTTTTCTTTCATTTGAGGGTGGTTTTTTGTTTCTCCATTTTAGTTGTCTCTTTGTTTTGTTCCTGTGTATTAGATAGAACTGCTATGACTCCCAGTCTTTATGGAATGTCCTTATGTATTAAGTTTCCTGTGAGACCCAATTGTGCAGTCTCCTTGATCTCCTTAGCTGGATGCTCTAGGAATGTCCTTTGTGTGAGTTATTCAGACCCTCTTATTATAATTTGGCCTTGATTGTTTTTGTCCCATTCATGGGTGGAATATCCCCTCAGGTTGGCTGCCTGTGAAGCTCAATCTCAATCATGTCATGGGAGCTGTTGTACAGGTGCTGACACAACAAAACAAAACAAAACAGAACAGAAACATACTAAAGAACCCAACACCTACAACAAAAACAACCACAAAAAAGAAAAAAGATTTAGGAAATAGAAAAAAGAACAAAAATAATAAAAGAGAAAAAAACAATATAAGAAGAAAAAAGGGGAGAGAGAAAAGAATATGAAAGGAAGGAAGGGAGAGAAAAAAATAAATAATAGGAAAAAACAGTAAAAAAGAGAAAAGAGAAAAAATTAAGAAAAGAGAAAGAGAAAATAGGATAAGAAAATAAGAGAAAAATAAGAAATATGATATAAGAGAAAAAAATAATAATAAAGCAATAAAAAGAAAAAATAAAGAAAATAATGAAAAAGAGCAAAGTGGGTTTTGTCTCAGCAGAGTTTAGTGCTTGCTGGGTTCTCCCTTTGGATCTTGCTCTTACGTTCTTTGAGGTTGTTTTGTGTGTCAGTTCCAGGCTACCTGAGTAGTACTTCAGTGCTAGCCAATTTGCTCTCAGTAATCTGATGGAAGCTTCAAGAAATCCACAGTTTGTGACTTCCTCTGGTGGGTTTGGCTGTGCACCAGAGGGGCCAAACTGAACTCCACAGCTAGCTTTTAGCATCATAGGGCTCAGGAGTAAGTCAACAAGTGTCCCAAGGCACCTTGGGAGCTGCTTCTGCCCACCTCCATCTGCAGGCAGGCTGTCAGACTTAGTCACTGAAAAGGTTGTTTCTGATAGGACTTCAAGTGGAATCCTGATGATGGGACCTCTGAATCTCCTGTGAAAGATATCTTCAAAACTTCAGGGAAGATAGATGTCCCAGAGCCACACATCTGAGTCTGTCCTGAAATATTTCCCTGACAGGGCAGACCACCTCATAGGTCAATTGGGTCTGCTGGAAGCTGGGAGTTTTTATCAGCTCTCCCATGAGTGGGAAAGACCAGCCAGGTTCCCAGGAAAGTGTGGACCCCACCCTAAAGCCAGTCACTGATGCCCCCCAATTCTGCCCAGACCCACAGGCTGGGTCTCTGCTGCTGCCTCCTCAGCAAGGGCCCAGATGTAGGATGGAGCAAGCAAGATTCCAGAGAGTGGATCAAGCCTTAACTCAGGTAATTGCCTCTTTCCAGGCTGCTGCTATTGGGAGGGGTGTGTGCCTCTCAAGAAGACTGGCTGCTGTGGTATCATTGGGGATGACCAAGAACATGGATCTCAGCATCTGCTCTCCCACATCTCTCCCCAGTGCCTCCCACCCCAGACTCTCCTCCAGTTACTCCAGTCCACACCTCCTTCCATCTGCTGAAGCCCAGGGTGAATGGCTGTGAACAAAAATTCTGTGACTGGCCCTTAAAAAACATAAAAAGGTGAATTTGTTCTCAGCAGGCTCCATCTCTCCATGGCAGATAGAAGCCCTGCCACCTTTCACCACTGGATGCTACCTAGGGGTGCTGAGTTTGTGGCCAGGCCTCAGTCCTCTCAGGAGAACCTTCCCCACCCCACCCCCACCTGGCTGCAACCCAGGTATTCCTCCCCACCATAGGCCTGCTGCCCTTGGTAGCAGGGCCAGCCCCTCTCTCAACCCCGCCCTTCCTACCAGTCTCCATGTAGTTTTTGCCCTTCATTGTTTAAAAATCTCCTCTTCAGGTAGTTTTCAGTTGATAATTCAGAGTAGGTGTTCCCCAATTTAATTTTATTTCCAGTTTGGTTCTGGGAGAAGGGGTGCACAAGATCCACCTGCTCCACTGCAATCTTCTCCAGTGCCTAATTCCAAATTTTTAATAACAGACAACACTGCAATAAACACTTTTTAAATATATTTGTCTCATTATCTTTTTAGGAAAAATTATTGGAAGTGTAATTGCTCAAAGGATACATGGTTTTTTTAAGTCCTTTGATTCATATTTCCAAAATACTTCCCAGAAAGTTTGCAACATTTAGACACCTAGACAGCTATAAAATTAGGAAAAATGCTTTAGAAAAACAACAAAAAACATTTAATGCATTTTTTAAAAAAACAAAGTAGTCAGTAGTCCAAAGTATTACCTGAGGGCGAACCATTTCACCTGCTGCAATTTTCTTCTCCTCATTGATCAAACTAATAATTTTTTTACTAACAAGAGGTGCATTTGCACCCTCAATCTTTGCAACAATTTTGCCATTCTATAAAGAAAAAGAAAGCATAAAGAAAATTTTCATTTTCAAGGTAGGTAAAAATTAACACTGCAACTAAACTAAGTAACCTACACCTCCACCAACCCTCTCTTAGCAACTGTATTAGCCATTTTAATATAAGGTATCAGATGTCTTGATTTGGTAAACCCAGCTCTTTGAGTTCTATCTCCAGTTTTTCCTTCCCCCTACAGCCAAAGATAGGCCATCCTTGCATTGCATTTCAACGGTTCTATGTAGGCCTACCAATATTACCCTTTGATTATATTTGATATTATGTAGCCTTTTCCTGTATTTCAGCACATAATTATTAAATATCTTTTTACTAGCACTGTACCAGGCATTATAGTATGACACAATAGTCTGGTCTATTATTACCTGACCTATTAATACCTAATACCTGACCTAGTTAAATTACCAAAAACCAAACAGACAGACAGCAACAACAACAAAAAATAACATAAATACATGTGAAATAACAACCATGACAGGTATCATCAAGAGAGGAACAAAAAACTGGTGCATCTATAAGAATTGGATCCTAGGATTAAAGATGGTGGCAGACTGAGTGGAAGAAACACTGATACTCTGTCATGGCAAAACTGGAATTACAACTAAAATATAAAAAAAACATCCTGAATAATCAACTACAACTGAAGACGAGCTGGGGAGAACCTTTATAACCAAAAAGGAAAATTAGGGACCCCATAGAGGCTGGTAGGAAATGCGGAGGCACAAGAGCTGGCTGTGCTCCCACAGGCAACAGCTGAAGTTCTGGAGGGATACCTCAGTTGTGGGGGGTTCCCACTGAAGCCTCTGGGGCCTAAACCCCAGGCTGGGCTTCCCAGCCAAGAGCACCAGAACTGAGAAAGTTACCCACATGACATCTGGCTGTGTAAAGCAGCCAGGTTTCTGTCCGCCAGGGAGAGATGGATAGAAATGCATCTTAAAGAGCCAATGCACAGTTACATGTCTAGCCACTCACCTTGGGCTCCAGCAGAGGGAGGGCAGAGTGGACTGGAGCTGTGTGAGGAGAACCTAGGGTTGTGGGCTCTGGAGATTGAGATCAGAGGGCACCCCTCTGGATTACTGTACTGAGTCATTCCCCCATACTGCAGAGGACATCTTTTTTAGGCAGACATATTTGCTGCTTTTGCCTGGAGGGGGAAGCAATTGCCCTGCCCTGCTAGAACCTCTCTCCTTACCCAGAGGAGTTTCTATAGCCTGAGGCTACTTAAGAGACTGCTAACAACCAGCTACCCTGCCCTATGGAGTTATACAGCCTGAGGCTCATTAAGAGAATCAAAATAACCAGGCTGCAAGCAGAGGCAGACTTCTGAGTGCTTTGACCCTTTGCCTGATCTGCTTCTGGATCTGGTGTTCATCTTGGTCCTATCCAACCTCACTCAGGTCTAGCAGAGGAGATCTCAAGCCAAGGGTTGTTGATAGCTCCAAACAGGGCACTCAGGGCCACTCACAAACTGCATCTGACATTGACCTGCACCAGACAAAGACCCAACAAAAAGACTAAGAGTCCTAGCAGATCTACCTAATACAGAGAAATAAACCCAAACAAGAAGCCAAAATGGGGAGACCAAAAAAACAAGCCCAAAATGAAAGAACAATTGAAGTCCAGAAAAAGCTAAATGAAATGGAGATAAGCACTCTATCAGATACAGAGTTCAGAATACTGATTGTAAGGATGCTCAAGAGCATGAAAAAGATATAGAAACTATGATGAAAATGAAGAATGACATAGCAGAAATAAAGAATACATTGGAAGGAATAAACAGCAGATTAGGTGAAGCTGAGGATTGGATCAGCAAATTAGAAGACAGGGTAGAAAAAAATTACTCAATCGGAGAACCAAAAAGAAAAAATGATTAAAAAACAGGAGGCAGTCTAAGGGAACTGTGGGAAAACATGAGATGTAACAATATGCACATCATAGGAGTGCCAGAGAAGGTCAAAAGTAAACAAGGATTAGGGAACCTATTTGATAAAATAATGGCAGAAAACTTCCCTAACCTGGTCAAGGAAAAAGTCACACAAGTTCAGGAGGCACAGAGAGTCCCAAGCAGGAAGAATCCAAAGAGGCTCATGCCCAGACACATCATAATTAAAATGCCAAGAATTCAAGACAAAGAGAGGATATTAAAGGCAGCTAGAGAAAAGCAATCTATTATCTACAAAGAAGCTCCCATAAGGCTGTCAGCTGACTTCTCATCAGAAACTCTACAGGCCAGAAGGGAATGGCATGAAGTATTCAAGGTATGCAAAACAAGGATCTGAAATCAAGACTACTCTATCCAGCAAGACTATCATTCAAGATAGATGTTGAAATAGCTTCCCAGACAAAAAAAGGCTAAAGCAGTACATCATCATCAAACCATCATTGCAGGAAATGTTAAAGGAACTGCTGTAATTAGAAGTAACAATAGAAAGAGAAACATAGGCATAAAGAATTAAAATAGCAATAAATATCTATCAATAATAACCTTAAATGTAAATGGATTAAATGCTCCAATAAAAACACATAGCGTAGCTGAATGGATAAGAAAAATGACCCAAATATATGCTGTCTACAAGAGACCCATCTCAAAGCAAAAGACTCATATAGGATGAGAGTGTAGGAATGGGAAAAAGAATTTCATACAAATGGAAATGAAAAAAAAAGCTGGAGTGGCAATACTCATATCAGATAGACTTCAAAATGAAGACCATAATGAAAGACAAAAAAGTCACTACATCATACTAAAGGGATCGATCCAACAAGAGCATATAACCCTGATAAACATATATGCACCCAAAAAAGAAGCACCTAAATTTATTAAAAAAAAAAAAAAAAAAAAACTTCTAGAGGATTTTAAGGGAGAGATGGACAGCAAGACAGTCATAGTAGAGCATTTTATCACTCCACTGATTTCACTGGATAGGTCTTCCAAACAAAAAATCAACAAGGAGTGACCCTAAATGACACACTAGATCAGATGGATTTAATTTATATTTACTGAACATTCCACCCCAAAGCTGCAGAATATGCATTCTTCTCAAGAGCACATTAGTAGATGAATGGATAAAAAAACTGGTACATTTATACCATGGAATACTATGCAGCTGTAAAAAGAAGGGTCACTGATTCTTTTGGCAGCATGGAGGGAACTAGGGAGTATTATGCTTAGGGAAATAAGCCAGTCAGAGAAAGGCAAGTACCAAAGTTTACTGCTTTTCTCTATAGTTTCTCCCAAACCTCTTACTGGACTCCCTCCCTGCCTAGGCTTTATCTCTCTCTCTCTCTCTCTCTCTCTCTCTTCTCAATTCATTTGCATAACTTCTTTCTTTCTTTCTTTCTTTCTTTCTTTCTTTTTTTTTCTTTTTTCCTCCCTTCTGTCTTCCTGTGTTTTTGTTTAATTGTTAGTTTCCCTTATTCTCTTTATTGTATTTTTATTTTCTCATTTTCAACTATTACCCTATTCCTATTCTGTCCCTTAATTTTTTGCTGGCCCTCCTTTCAGAATCTTTTCTCTGCCTCTTTACCTCGCAGTAGCTTCTTTATTTTTTACATTTTAGTTTATTTTATTACTACTATTTTTTAAATTTTCATCACTATTAACAACAATATACTTTTCTCTCTCTAAGCTTTACTTTTCTTTCTCTTATTTTTACTTTTTTTTTTTTTTTACTCTAGAATTTGTGCTCTCTCTTCACTCTCACAATTCTATTTTCACTTGGGTTGTTTTCATTGTGATTGTAAAGATATTTTGTAAGATACCTCTTGTTCCCTGGAAATTTAGTTGTGTATTGTCCTGCCTTGACAGCACCTGTACAACAGCTTGCACAATAAGGTTGGGGCTGAGGCACACAGCCAACCTGAGAGGAGAGTCCTCACAAGGACTGGTCAACAACAATCTAGACCCAACCACAGCAGGAGAGCCCAAAGAACCCACAAAAGGGACACGCCTAGAGCAAAGAGCTCAGAAGTATAAGGAAAACACACCTCTGGGTTCCACTGGTCTCATAATACAAAATTCCCATAAGACTAGGAGACAACAAATATATTTAACATATAGGTACAAACACTAAGGGCCACCAAAATGGGCAGACAAAAAAACAACCCCCAAATTAAAGAAAAGATCGCCAGAAAAAGACTTTGATGAGATGGAGTTAAGCAAATTATCAGAAACAGAGTTCAGAGTAATGATTATAAAGATGCTCAAGGAAATTAATGAGAAAAGTCACTAGATGGTGAGATCAAGGATCTTCATGAAAACATGAGAAAAGAGATACATAACATAAACAAAAATCCTACAGAAATAAAGAATGCTGTATCTGATATCAAGAATACACTGGAAGGAATTAAAAGCAGGCTCAATGAAGCAGAGGATAGAATAAGTGACTTAGAAGACAAGGCAGAAAAAAATCACTTAATCAGAGCAGCAAAAAGAAAAAAACACTTAAAAAGCATGAGGACAGTTTAAGGGAGCTTTGGGACAACATGAGGTGAAACAACATTTGCATTATAGGAGTGGCAGAGGGAAAGGAAAGAGAGCAAGGGATAGAGAACTTGGTGGAGGAAATAATAACAGAAAACCTCCCTATGCTGGTAAGGAAGAAAGCCACACAAGTTCAGGAAGCACAGAGGGTTCCAAACAAGAGGGACCCAAAGAGACCCGCTCCAAGACACATCATAATTAATATGGCAAATGTCAAGGACAGAGAGAGAATATTAAGGGCTGCAAGAGACAGGCAAGCAGCGACCTACAAGGGAACCCCCATAAAGCTGACATCAGATCTTTCAAAAGAAACTCTTCAGGTCAGAAGTGAGTGGCATGAAANTAAGGAAAAGAAGGAATAGTGAGAGAAAGGTACAACAGCATAAAGGGGAAAATGACATTAAATAAGTTGATATCAATAGTAACCTTAAATGTAAATGTAAATGAAATAAATAAGTTGATATCAATAGTAACCTTAAATGTAAATGAAATAAATGG